CGTGAGATCACTGGAAGATTATACAATAATTAGGCCCTAGGTGCCAATAATTAGGCACCTTTACTGAGTTGTCCTTTAAGTCTTATGTTCTTGGTTTTTATGGAAAGTCACTAAAAAAGAAAAAAACATTTGAAATCTGCTTAATATTTGTTGTGAAGTTTAGTGCCTTTATCCATTTTCTTCTAGAGTTAATACCTGGACATTTTTTGTTTTCCTCATTACTTGGTATGCGTCCTCCTTTCTGACCATGATATCTGTGTAATTGAATGTTTCTCTCTCTGCCCAGGCCCCTTGAAAATTCAGATCCACATTTGATGCTCAGCTCTAGTATCACTACTGATCTTTTCAAACAGATATCTGTTTTTTCCTTGTCCTTGATTTTCTGTTTTTAAAAATTAATTTTTGTGTATTTTGTCCTTTGGGAATGTACAAATGATATATCTCAGATACTTATTGGAAAGAGGAAGTAAAATTTTTAAAAATAAAGATTTATTTTATGTTCCTCCCTGCAACTAGGGGGATAAAATAGATCCTCAAGAACAATACTTTCAGCCTAATATACACATTATAAAATTTATTACATTTTGATTTGAGGACTAGTCTGTACATAGATTTTTCAAAAGTTGGAAACTTAGTTCTGATATTAGAATGTGTTTGCCAGTTTAATTTTGTAACAAAGAATTTCCACTTCACTTTTTCTTATATTGAAGTTATAAGAAGATTGCGTATACATAAAAGCTTTAATCTTGTCCCATAAAAAAGTGTCTGGCTTTTAACTCCAAAGTTGATGGTAGATTGATCCTTTAGATTCTAAACTAAACTGTAGAAAAAGACACACAACTGGGCATAAATTAATAGTGACTCAGGGCAGTCCTCAGGATAGAGGTAATAGAATTGACGGTTTCTGGGAAAACTAGTTAGTCCAGCTTTACAGATTACTCAGCTTCATGTGATACTGTTTTAGAAAACCAAATTAAAGACATTCTTTCTGTTGTCAGAGCTTCTAGGCCAGTTAAAAGGAGAAAAAATCCTAAAAACCAAAATAAGATTGAGTGAAGAATAATGCAGCATATTTTGAATAATGTCTCATTCTGTACCAGTGGGGAATGAACTGTCTCATTAGACAATGGAAGTTAGTTGTATATCTTAAGTATTTTAGCCAGGCTTTTCTTTTAATTTTTTTTTATTGCACAGAAACATAAGTGAATGGAAAAACGCCCATCTTACCAGTGTAGCATCAGTAGCATCAATAGTTTGACATATTCCATGCTTCCTTCCAGTCTTCATGGATTCAGGATTCATAGTTTAAAACAGTTTAGAGTAGTTCCTGCTGCCTCCAGTCATCCTTGGTAACAATGAGAATCTCACAGGTTTGAATATGTTTACTCATGCAGACAGTTGCAAATACTTCTGTGTGTCTACTGAGTAGACACGTGATGCCACCTTTGTTCTAATACCAGCAGAGTATATCATTCTTTATTAAGAACAAAGTCCAGGCGCAGTGGCTCGCATCTGTAATCCCAGCACTTTGGGAGGCTCAGGCAAGCGGATCACGAGGTCAAGAGATCAAGACCATGCTGGCCAACATGATGAAACCCCGTCTCTACTAAAAATACAAAAATTAGCTGGGTGTGGTGGTGCATACCTGTAGTCCCAGCTACTCAGGAGGCTGAGGCAGGAGAATCACTTGAACCCAGGAGGTGGAGGTTGCGGTGAGCCAAGATTGCGCCACCGCACTCCAGCCTGGCGACAGAGCGAGACGCCATCTCAAAAACAAAAACATTAAAAGCCAAACAAGGTATCATTTAGTGATACATATTGATTATACCTAATTAGTGACAAGAAGCTCCCTCTAAGCATTTATGTGTGAAGCTGCTTAAGGACTGAATATTGCCTGTTGTCATTAATAGGTTGGATGACTTCATTTAGGGCCTCCAAATGGTCTAGATGTCATATATCAGAGGTGTTCAAACTTTCTTTGCATCACAGAATGACCAGGAGAGTGTTTAAAATGCATACTCCTGAGCCTCACACTTTGTAGAGTTGGCAACCTAAGTGGTTACTTTGCAGCTTGTCAGCCAAATTTGCACATTTTATATGTTTTTTGACAATCCATAAAGATAAAGCTAAATACCTTAGAAATAATACTGTTAGAGTCATGTAAGATGAGTATATCTTTTAAAGGTAAGCAGAGACACTGGGGGAAAAATGAGATAAAGGAATGACAGGATTGCCCAATATAAACAGAGAGGAGGGGTGTGTTGTGTGGGGAGGTGTAGAGGTGAGGACACATTTAATAGTGGATCTAAAGAATACTGTAATTGTAATAGTTGTCAGATTATTGTGAGGCTTATCTTTCTAGGCATGCTGATGTTCTTCAAGTAGAGGTCACAAACTCAGTGCCTATAGGGCCCAGACAGGTAATGCAAATATGAGTTGTTGAGGAATGTTGCAACAGGAGACCCTGAGGCCACTACTGGACAGCCATTTCTAACCAGTCACAGCCTATTGTTGCCAAACCAAGTCCAGTATTTCTAGATCTTTCAGTTTTTAAGAGAAGCTAGAATTCTGGATTTTATATGAAAACTCTAGATTTTTGGGTGCTGACTTAATTTATTAAAGGCACTAAAAAATGAACACTCATCTCTGGGTTGGACTTGATCCACCTGTGATCAAGTTGCAATCTTTGTTGTAGAGCTGTGCTTCTCCAGGTGTGGTCCCGGGCATAGCAGCATCAATAACACCTGAGACCTTAATAGAAATGCAAATTCCTAGGCCTTATCTCAGACCTGCCGAAAGCCCAGTGCCAGGGGTGAGACTCAGTCATCTGTGTTTTAACAAGCCCTCTGGGTGATTCTGATGCATGCTCAGGTTTGAGAACCCCTGTTTTGGAGCATGGAAGTTGACACTACAGTTTCTATGTGGGGTAGTAGTAAAGTTCATCAAATATCCTGTAAATATCAAAAATATATCAGATGTATTTTGTTTTCAGGTATACGTAACTTCATCTTTTTTCCCAGAATCTCAGAAAACACAATAATTGTGTTTTCTCCCTTTTCTTTCTTGTTAAGAATATTGCAAATTAACTTAATAGCAATTCTGGTCACATTTTGACCTCATTGGAACACATCTTAGATTTTATTGATTGATTGATTAAAACTAGGTAAATAAGTTATGTGGCTTTACGAAGCTTCAGTGTTAAGTCTCCTTTAAAAGTATTAAATATAATATTCAGTAAGTCCTCACTTAATGTTGTTGATAGGTTCTCGGAAACTGACTTTTAGCCATATGATTTGTAATGAAACATATTTACTCTAGGCTAATTGATATAAACAAAAATTAAGTTCCTGTGGCATATTTCTGGTCACAAAACATCCCAAACTTCTAAATAAAGACCAAAACACTTCTAATGATAAACACTGAAATTAATGTGAGCTCTCCACACATTTAAGAAAGATTAATATAAACAAGATTATTATTCACCCACTGATTCCAGTTCAGGGTCGTGGGTGGCCAGAGCCTCTCCCAGCAACTCAGGGTACCAGGCGGGGACCCCACCCTGGACAGGACCCCTTCCCATCACAGGTTGCACTCACGCTTGCTCAGGCTGGGACCATATGGATGCACCACTGAACCTAAAGTGCACTCATCTTTGGAATGTGGGAGGAAACAGGAGTACACAGAGAAAACCCAAACAGACCTGGGGAGAACATGCCAACGTCACACAGATGGGCTTAGGCTGGGAATGGATTATTTTTTTCTCATCATTGTTATAACAAAATGACATTGAACAAAACGACATTATTCAAAGACCTACTGTATATTAAAAATAAGGAACACATCACATTTTTCTAAATTGAGTTCTGTTTGCTGGAATTAGAACTACCATTTCTACTTACCTATTTTTATATAAAAGAGGTTAATTTATGTGGTTTTATGTAAGTCTGGCCTCCTAATTGCTGATCAGGTTGTTTATATTTTAATGCCCAAGTATGCCAATATTTCCCTCCATTCTCAGAATGTAGAAATGGTTGCTATCCTGATTGTTATCCTTAAAGTTCTTGGCCAGGTGTGGTGGCTCACACCTGTAATCCCAGCACTTTGGGAGTCTGAGGACTGCAGATTGTTTGAGTCCAGGAGTTTGAGATCAGCCTGGCAATGTAGGGAGACCCCATCTCTACAAAAAAAAAATACAAAAACTTAGCCTGGTGTGCGGTGTCACGTGCCTATAGTCCCATCTACTCGGGAGGCTGAGGTGGGAGGATTGCTTGAGCCCAAGAAGTCGAGGCTGCCGTGAGCCATGATCATGCCACTGGGCGCCAGTCTGGGCAACAGAGTGAGACCCTGTCCCTAAACAAACAAACAAAACCCCAAGTTCTTTTTTTTTTTTTTTTGTATAAACCAACCTTAAACATATTTGTTCATTTAAAGTCACTAGTACCTTGCTAATCAGATACGAAATTTATGGAGAGAATTTTCTCACACTTAAAAGTATACAAAAAGCTGGCCAGGCGCGGTGGCTCATGCCTGTAATCCCAGTGCTTTGGGAGGCCGAGGCGGGCAGATCACGAGGTCAGGAGATCAAGACCATCTGGCTGACACGGTGAAACCCCGTCTCTACTAAAAATACAAAAAATTAGCTAGGCGTGGTGGCGGGCGCCTGTACTTCCAGCTACTCGGGAGGCTGAGGCAGGAGAATGGCGTAAGTAAACCCGGGAGGTGGAGCTCGCAGTGAGCCGCACTCCAGCATGAGCGACAGAGCGAGATTCCGTCTCAAAAGAAAAAAAAAAATGTATACAAAAAGTTTTTCATTTATTATGAGGAAACTTCGTGCATGTGTGACGTATTAGGTGCTTCAAATGTACTTTAGAGTATTTAAAATGCTGCGATAGACTGAGAAGTTTGGAATAATTTGATTTAAAGTAATAGATATTGAATTTGTAAGAAGTCATCTGCTTGTGTTTATATAATTTTAAATAAAAATAAATTTATGTTCACAGGGTAAACCAGACTTGAATACAACATTGCCAATTAGACAAACAGCATCAATTTTCAAACAACCGGTAACCAAAGTCACAAATCATCCTAGTAATAAAGTGAAATCAGACCCTCAACGAATGAATGAACAGCCACGTCAGGTAAGGATCTAATTCTTTCTCCAATCTTATTTTTCAGAAAAATGCTGGTATTTTTACCAGACATAATTCAAATAAATTCTGGCTAAAATGGAGTGTATTTGGAAAGAAAATTGTTTTATGTCCTAGGCTATTACATGAATGCTGGAGTATGCAAAATTTAGGTAAAATATTTTTAAGAAAATATTTAATAAGTCAATTAAGAATGAATCTAATTCATAATATGGACTAAATTTTTATGCTTTTCGTGTGGTAATATACATCAGACTTGGTTCTGCTAATCTTAGTTTTTTAAAGATTATCTTTCCAAGGATAATATTTCATAGAAGAATGAAGCATGTAGTTCGTGTTGCTTAGTTTAAAAATATTTTCTATTATTTGGAAGCTAAGACTACTTTTTATTCTGATTTCTTATTTTGTGAAATCTGTCCCACCCCTTTTGAAAAACAGAATTAGATAAACTTTGTCAATCTGGTATATTGTCCTGTGACTTCCATTTTTGTACAAATTCAATTTATTTTTCTCTTTCTTTATTGCTTCAAGCTGTATTCCACTAGAATCTTTTCTTAGAAAAAAAGCATTACCTGAAAGGCCTCCCTGCAGCCTATTAATGCCATATAGCCCGGGGAGGGAGACTGGACAAAATGCTTAAACCTTCCACGTAACCTTGCTTATTCACTCCCTAAATGTGGTCAGAAAGCCTAGGTAGTTCATGAATTTTTAGTAGCAATTGGGGTGAGGGAGTGGAGGGAGAAACATCTGTGCGTTTTTTTCTCTCCTTTCTCTGCCTCCTCCCGAGTCCAGCTAAGGATTAGAAACACTGATTTACCTACGACGGTTATCTTTTGCTCTCATATTCCCCTTTTAGATGTCTCACTCCACCTTTTCATTTGAATTTTGTTTTTCACTAGTCCTTCAAGTGTCTCATCTCCAGACTTCATAAAGGATTGGGCCAAAACTTTCAGACAGTTGCTCTAGAAGAAACTACATAAAGAAATTCAGTTCCCACATCCTCTGTAGTGTTTTTTCCTCTTCAGGTGAGCCAGGAAAACAGAAGATATTTGGAGCCACATTGGATCAGCATCTTGCTATAGATGTCTCAAGATTTGAAGTTCTAAACTTGCTTTACTGTTGGTCCCCAAGAGATTCAACAGGGGCCATGTAAGTGTATCACATCCAACATAAAAGATGCGTACCTGCATGTGCCTTTAGCCTCTTGTCACCACTTAGGTTTTCTTTGGGCCATTCAGCTTTCTGTGTGAGGCTTTTCCCTTCTGTTTTACTACCACACCCAGTGATAGTCACAAAACCACAGGAAGTTGCAGTATATTCATTACAACAGGGAAGGAATTCTGGCATTCTGAACTTTGTCCACCTTGATAAAGCCGTTCCCTGGTTGTATTCTTTCTCAGATACTATCTAAAGTCTTGAACATCTTGTCCTTTGACTTTTTGGTGATTTAAAAATCATTTCCCCACAAAGATATTTGTTAATGGAAAAATTTTGAAAGTATGTAATTGGGTAAAACAGATTTGCTTCAAAAATTCTGAAAGATAAAGAAGGTGGAATGTAATCTTTAATTAATAATATCATTCCACGTTGGAAATTTGAGTTCTTTATGAGATCAGATAGTATTTAATAGATTTGATCCTCATCTTTTCTTTGCCAAATCATTCTCAATATAGTCTATAAACCCAAATATTTTATTTAAAGATCAACTGATTAGCAAATTCTGTCCATTTTAACAGTAATTTAATTATTTTCTGCACCTAAATTCAGTCACAGTTCTAAAAAACTCTGGTAATTTTTTACTGGGTGTTTATCTGGCTATAGAGATACTGGTAACTTACAGTTTTAAAGTTGAAATAACCAGATTAGTTGCTCCTTGTTCTTTGGTATGTTGAATAGTTTTAACTTTTCCTTCTTTTATTATGGTGTATGAGATTATTCTCAAATGAAAGGTATGTGTCCAAAAACCTAAGTTCCATCTCCTCCATCTCTCCCCAAAAAACTTATGTCATTTCAACCCAGATCTTTTGAGGGTTTAATCTTCCTTTTAGCTTGCATAGACAGGAAGTGTTTAAAATTATTTAGCAGGCCACTTCTCCAAAAGCTTTGGCTGTTTTTTACTTTATCCTTATGGTACCTGACAATTTTTGCTGGATGCTTTTGATTGTGCTAAGACATTAGTTGTCTTTCCTCTTTCTTTATCTTCAGTGTAAGAAGTGAGGTAATATTTGACCACTGTCTCACCAATAGGACTGTGCACTGGGCAGAATATGGGAAAATAGAAAAAAAACAATTTTCATGTTAATGTTTTAAAAATCATGATCTGTTATCCCAAGTTTTCCAGTTTAGATTCAGTTTGTTAGTAAAGGAAAGATGTTAGTTTTAATTCTATTTTGATATACATGTGGCAGACGACTGCTAATCAGCTATTGTAATTGAGGAGATCGTTGGCACAATATACATAGGCAAAAATGATTCTTCCAATTTTGCTACCCATTACTTAGATTCATTGAATTCGGTTGGTAATATAAATTGCCAAATATTCCAATTGGAGGAGTTATTTTTATCATAGAGTAAACGAATTAGACAATGAGGTTTCTATTTTTGAGGTTTCCATAGATATAAATGTTTTTATTCTTTATATCACATTCTTTTAATAAGATGTTCAAGATAATGATATTGTAATTCCTTTTAAAGTGTTGAATTTTGAAGCCTATAACTAGGATTAGGCTTCTGAATATTAACTAGGCTTTACTGTGAAAAGATCTGAAATGTTTAATTTAAACGAGAAGCAATCATTAAAAATAATAATTCTGTCTTTTATAACCAACATCCTATGCCCAGGTCATTTATATGGCAGCCTAATTTGAATTCTATAAAATGTATAAATTATGAAATTGTAATGTATTGATTCCTTGAAAATGCCTTAACTTTAAAAGTGCAAATTAGGGTATGTAAAGAAAAGCATTAAACAGAATTCAGTGATTTCTATAATTAAAATTATAAGGTAGTGATGGAATTTGTAAAACCTGGTTATAATAGGGTAGTAGCCAGCCATCTTTGTATATAGCATCAGTGTATTTGATGATTGCTTGTCTTTTCTTTAGATTAAAAAGACCCCTGTAGTGGGGAGGAGGGAACTCTGCCAATTACCAGACTATTATCCCAAACAGTAATCACTGAAATATCATTATTCAGCTAGGTGCATAAAACACATCTCAAGATCTTTTTAGTGTAATTGAGTTGTAATTTTTTGCTGGTAACAATGCCTTTCCTAGTTTACCCCCTTTATAATATGAAGAACTACCATTTCTGTTTCTTATTTCTTTACTGCTGTCATCTTTGATACTATCTGGTCTCTTGATTCCTTCTTTTTCTCTTTTAGCGTCAAACCAAAGAAGCTTCATCTTTGAACTATTACTTCTTCCTTTTAATTATTAGATTATAGAGGGATAAAAGGCTTTTGTGTTTTTGACAGTCTTTGAATATTAATTACATTTCTTACAGAATATTCACTTTTTTGTAGGAGTAATTGTTTAACAGTAAAGAAGCAGATTTGAATCTTCCACTTGATCTTAGATATATTTTTCCTTTTATTTCATTTTGCCAATTCTCCTTGCAAGGATATGAAACTTTCCTTTACCTACTTCTCTAGAAGCCAGCCTTTTCTTTTAGAAGGAATGTTTTAAAATGTATTAGAAGAAACTTTCCTGGTTGAGATAAATTTTTTAAATGTGCCGTTTAAAGTCACTGTGTATGAAAAGTGTATGAAATAGTTCAACTTTCAGTTGCTAAAACCCAGAGGGTTACTATTTCAGGCATTCTAGCAACATTTTCTTGTTTCAAATCTCTAACAGTTATTTCTAGTATAGTCTCATTATAATGTTCTTAATGATTGACAAATAGATAAGCTAAAGCACAGTCTCATGGTGGATATATTCCTTTGCTCTGGACAGAAAAATTGACTGCCTCGGCAGAGAAAATAGAGGATGTGTCCTATAACACTTAAAAATATTACTCTGGGTACTGTTGGGAAGATGCCATATACAAAGTGCCAAAGGAATAGTAGAGTAGTACAGGCAAGTGCTATAGGTGTTTAAGAAAAGTGAGGTTACTGTTGCTAGGAGGCTTGAGAAAATCTTTAGAAAAGGCATGAAACATATGCTGGACATATTTTCAAAATGTAAAAAATATTGTGTAACAATATTTTATAATGTTTCCTTGGGCTAGATTCCCAGAAATATAATTAGTGTGAATATTTACATTTTTGATACATACCAGCAAATTGATTCTAAAGGGTTGTACCAAATTAAAAGACTATCAAGAAGTTATATACTTTCCAGTTTCAGCCTACCTTCTGTAGCAGCAGTCCCCAACCTTTTTGGCACCAGGGACTGGTTTTGTGGAAGACAATTTTTCCATGGACCAGGTGAAGGGGTAGGGGGTGGTTTTGGGATGAAACCATTCCACTTCAGATCATTGGGCATTAGATTTTTATGAGGAGCATGCAACCTAGATCCTTCACATGCACAGATCACAATAGGGTTCGTGCCCCATGAGAATTTAATGCTGCCTCTGATTGGGCAGGAGGTGGAGCCCAGGTGGTAATGCTTACCTCCTGCTGTGCTGCCCAGCTCCTAACAGGCCACGGACTGCTACCTGTCTGTGGCCTAGGGGTTGGGGACTCTTTTCCTATAGCTTTGACTATTATTAGTTCTTTTTTTTTTTTTTTGTGGGGCTGGGGGGGGAGTAATTCAGTAATTTAAAAGGGTATTTTATTTTAAATTTAGAGGCGTTTGTATTAAATTTTAAACATAAGAAACGTTTAGAGCTTTTTAAACTAGGGAGTAGCTTTTATATTACCCATCTGAACTGAACTTAAAGGTATCTCCTGGTGGCCTACAGCTAATTCCAGCATGTGTACTCTGCAGATACACTTCCTCCTTCCTTCTCAGAGACCCCATCCAATGGAATATGTCACTTACCTTTTATCT